GGATCCAGGAGCACCCGGGAGGATCCAGGAACATCCGGGAGGATCCAGGAGCACCCGGGAGCACCCGGGAGGATCCAGGAGCACCCGGGAGCACCCAGGAACATCTAGGAGCACCCGGGAGAATCCAGGAGGATTTAGGAGCAGCCAGTAATATCCAGGAGCACCCGAGAGGATCCAGGAGCACCCAAGAGCATTCAGGACCATCCAGAAGCATCCAGGAGCTCCCAGGATCACCCAGGAGCATCCAGGATTACCCAGGAGCTCCCAGGATCACCCAGGAGATCCACGAGGATCCCAGAGTGACCTGGCTCCAGCCAGGGGGCACGGGGGGGATGTGCAGGGGACAGCAGAGGCTGCCTTCCTCTCCCACATCCTCCGGAGGATTTAACATCCTTGGGCATTGCCATCCCTGGAATGCCCCAGGCCGGGCTGGCCGGGGCTCGCAGCGCCCTGGGACAGGGGGAGGTGTCCCTGCCATGGCAGGGGTGGCACTGGGTGGGCTTCAAGGCCCCTTCCAACCCAAAGTGGAGCTGCTGGGATGGGACCCGGGCTGCAGTGTGAATCCTGGACACGATCCCTCTTCCTGCCGTCCCCACGTCCTGGGCAGAACTGTGTAATTCCAGCTCCTTGGAGCTGTCCCTGCTGCCAGGAGGGCTCTGGGGCTCCCCCTCCCCGCAGCACCCCGGGGTGCTCCTCACCCACCACTCCCAATCCAGGCAGAGCAGTGTCGGGTGTGATGCTGGGAGCCTGCCGGGGGCTCGGGGGGGTCTGGGGGGTCCCGAGCCGGGGTGCTGCCCCCAGGGCCCCCCCAGGAGGCTCCGGGCTGGGCCGGCACTGGCGTTGCTCAAGCAAATCGGCGGCTGAGGGCGAGGTCAGGGGAGCCGGGCTTGTGAAAGGCCGCGGCAAGCGGGGCTGTTGTGGCAACAGCGACAACGCCTGGGGATGTCACCGGCCACGGGAAGGGACCCCAAAGGGCTCAGCCAGCCCCTGCCGCGAGCAGGGACATCGCCCTCAGAGGAGCTGCTCCTGCTCCATCCCGGGGCCTCCCGGTGCCTGCGGGTTCTCGTGGCACCACCACGGAGCCCGGGGCAGGAGGAGAGCAGGGCTGAGCCCTCTCCTGCCAGGGGCGCTGGCAAACCTTGCTGCCGAGAGCAGCTAGAGCCCAGCTCCCCGCAAAGCCAAATATCCAAACATCCACAGGGGTAAATATCCAAATATCCAAATATCCAAATCAATATATAAATATCCAAATATATATCCAAATATCCGGGCTCGCTGCCTCCCGAGCGCTCCGCTGCCTGCCCACTCCGAAATCCTTGTTTAGATAAACTTGAAAGCTGAAGGGAATTTGGCAGGCAGGGTCCTGCCCTGCGCGGAGGGCAGATAATGTCACCTGCAGTGTAAACACACACCAGTGACCGGGGCTGGCACCGCCTTGTCAGCGATAAAGTCACCTCTGGGGCGGCTCCCGTCACGCCGGGCTGCTCCGGCGGGGAGGAGGGGACACAAGGGACACACGTGGGCGCGGGTGTGTGCGGTGTCTGTGCGCACACGTGTGCGGGCCGGGGAGCGCCGCCTTCCCCCGCGGCCTCGCAGCAAATCCGCATCGCCCCGGGGAGCTGCAGCCCCTTCCAGGGCCGCGGGGACAGCCCGGGGGTCCTGGGGCACGGGGACATTCCGGGGGTCCTGGGGTACAGGGACATTCCGGGGGTCCTGCGGCACAGGGACATTCCGGGGGTCCTGGGGTACAGGGACATTCCGGGGGTCCTGCGGCACAGGGACATTTCGGGGGTCCTGGGGTACAGGGACATTTCGGGGGTCCTGGGGCACAGGGATATTCCGGGGGTCCTGCGGCACGGGGACATTTCGGGGGTCCTGGGGTACGGGGATATTCCGGGGGTCCTGGGGTACGGGGACATTCCGGGGGTCCTGTCCTGACCCGTGTCCCGCACGAGGCCGGGGGTGGCGGTGGCTGTGCGGATGTTCAGACCCTTCCAGAAGCGCCTGCGGGATTGTCCCTCCCTTGTGTCCCTCCCGGGGGTTTGGGGGGGCTGTGGGCACCCCCGGGGAGTGGCAGGGGCAGGGAGGGGCCGTGGGAGGATGGGGACAGTGGCTGATCCCGCAGGGGAGTTTCGGGAAGGGGAAGGAAGGGGAAGGAAGGGCAGCTCGGACGGTTTCCCCGAAAGGCTGCGGGGGACAGGATGGTGTCACCAAGTGTCACAACACCCCGTGCCCAGAAGCTGAGCCCGAGGTTTCTCCCCGGACGCAGGGAAGGAACATCTCCAGCTTCCCTTCCCGGCTGTGCCACCTCACAGGGCACCGGGAACGGGACAGAGCCACCCTTGGAGCTGTGACATCCCCAGGGAGGGAGCGCCACACGGTCCCCAAAACCCCAATCCCCCGTGGGGACACCACCCGTGGGGAGCTGCTCTTTGCAAGGCACTGCGATGGTGACACTGAGCGCCACCGAATGTCCTCAAAGCCTTCATCCTCATCCTCATCCCCACCCGGAGGGGTCTCCATCCTCGGGGCACCATGTCCCCACTGATGTCCACACCCGTGGCCAGCTGGGGGAGGAGACAGCAGCTTCTCCTAAGATCCTTCAGAAACAGAAAAACCAACTCAGAAAAAGTAAGAGAAGTTCTGGGAAAAGATCACGGGTTTCTAATTGGGATGTGCAAATATCAATTTAAGCAGACCTTAAATCAATACGAACCAGAACGTTTCCTTTCACCCCTAATCGTTCTTTTGATTTTTTTCCCCCCCAACCAGGTGAGTTTTAATAAGCTAAAATAAAACATCTCCTCTTTCAGCGCAGTCCCAGCATGAGGAATATCAATTAACAGAGCCATCCTCGGCCCTTGGAGCTCACCACAACAGCGCTGGAGCTGCGGCTCGATGGGAATGGGAAGAAAATTACAACCTTTTCAGGGAAACCATTAAGTAAAAATCAGAATTTGTCCATAAGTACCACAGGGGGAGGGGCACAGCCCAGCTAATGGCTTCTATTTTGAGCAATAAAGTGAATTTTCAGTGCAAAATCGCCGCTTTCTGTTCCTCTCCCAGTGGCCTCACGTCCCCTGAGTCTGGCCTCGGAAAGTCCCCGGGACAGAGAGTCTGGCTCAGCCCCACCACGGGAATCACCCCCTTTTCCACATTCCCCAGCTCAGTGGGTGCAGGCTGAGGGCTGGACAGAATCCTCGACCCCTGGAGTTGTTTGGAAGGGACCTCACAGCCCATCCAGTGCCACCCCTGCCATGGCAGGGACACCTCCCACTGTCCCAGGGTGTTCCAGCCTGGCCTTGGGCACTCCAGGGATCCAGGGGCAGCCTCAGCTGCTCTGGGAATTCCAGCCCAGCCAGGAATCCCTTCCCATATCCCACCCATCCCTGCCCTCTGGCACTGGGAGCCATTCCCTGTGTCCTGTCCCTCCATCCCTTGTCCCCAGTCCCTCTCCAGCTCTTCTGGAGCCCTTTCAGGCCCTGAAGCTCTCCCTGGATCCTTCTCCTCTCCAGGGGAACATTCCCAGCCCTCCCAGCCTGGCTCCATAGGGGTTCCAGCCCTGGAGCAGCTCTGGGGCCTCCTCTGGAATTGCTCCAGCTGCTCCAGGTCCCTCTGAGGTTGGGATCCAGTGGGGTCTCACCTGGGGGGCAGAGCTGGGGACAATCCCCCCGTTCCTGCTGGGAAATTCTGGGGAGAAGGGCAGAGTGCTGAGGAAGGGCAGCATGGTGTCCCATTCCCTGCCCAAGGGGAGGATTCCCAGGCACTGTTCCCTTTGCTTTGGGATCTCCCGGGAGCCATGGCAGTGTGTGACACCGGGAGCTCGGCCACGTCCCTCCACTAAACCCCTGTCACCCTCAGAGAGCTTTGCAGGAGCAATAAGGACCACGAAGGTTTCCAGCCTTGCTCCTTGCCATTGATTTTTGGTGTTTCTCCAGCACAGGAGGTTCCAGGAGCTGCTCCTGCTCCGAGTGCTTCGGGGAGCTGTGCTCCCACGTTATCCCAGCTCCAGGAGCTGCCTGCCAGGGGGGCTTTGCTCCACGATGGGGGTCCTGATGGGTCACTCGAGGGACACCCCAGGGGGACTCCAGTGGACATCCCGACAGACACCCCAATGGATACCCAGTGTCAATTCTGATGGATACCCCAAGGGATGGACACACCAGTGGGCACCCAGTGTACATCCTGATGGATACTCCAAGGGATGGACCCCCCAATGTGCATCCTGATGGGCACCCCAAGGGATGGACACCCCAATGTCCATCCTGATGGGTGTTCCTCTGGATACCCCAAGGGATGGATGCCCCAAGGGATGGACAACCCAATGGCCATCCCAATGGACACCCCAAGGGATGGACACCCCAATAGACACCCCAACACCCATCCCAACAGATGCGCCTGCAGATACCCCAATGGATCCCCAACATCACCCCGACATACCCCACGCAGCGCAGGGCATTCACACAGAGCTGCTGCCTGGACAGAGGCAAAGCCCCCCAGAAAAGCCGAAAGGCGGCAAAATGAGGGAACCGGGAAGGGCCGGGAAGGGCCGGGAACAGCCCCGCCGCACTCCGCTCCGCGCTCGCTCCGCTCCGCGTTTTGCCGCGCTCCGGCCGCGCCCCACGTGGGGCAGGGGCGTGGCCGGGCGGCGGCAGCCAATGGGCAGCGCCGGGCGCTGACAGCGCTCGTCACGTCACCAACCGGAACGCTCCCAATTAGCGGCGGGCGGAGGGGGAGGGGGGGGCCGGGGCACCCCCGTCCCGCACCCCGGGGGTCAGCGGGGCGCCCGCACCCCCGCGCCGGGCAGCGAGGAGCGGGGCGGCATTTCGGGGCGCTCCGCCTGCTGTTTGTTATTTAAGCGGCGGCGTTTCATTCCCGTCGAGAAGGCGGCGAGGCGCGGCGTTGCCGCAGAGATCGCGGCGGTGCCGCGGCCCGCCCGGCTCGGCGGTGACAGATTGTTTGAGCTGGAGGAAGCGCCGGCCCGGGCTAATTACGCCGCCATGGCGGGCGGGCGGCGGGCGGGGGCTGCGCGCCGGCGGCCCCGCGTGGCTTTGATTGACAGCGCCGCTCTCCCCGACCAATCGCGTTGGAGCGGCGGCCCGCTCCGCGCCGTGATTGGCGGAGCGGCGCTGAGCGGCGCGCGGCCCCACGTGGGGCGGAGGCTCCGTCTGACGCGCGGGCGAGCGGCCATTTTGTGCGCTGGGCCGGGCCCGGCCCGCCCGTGAGGCCGCCGGTGTTGCGGCCCCGCTCCCTCCGGCCCGCCGGGACCGGGGCTGCTCCCGCTGCGCTGCGGCGGGCGCGGAGACCCCCGCGAGGGCGCAGCCGGGTGTCTCGCGGGCGCGGCGGGAGGCTCTGACGTTAACGCCATTACCCGTGTTCCTCGTTAAAGCCCCTCAGGCGTGAGGGGAGGCGCGGAGGGGGAGCAGCGCGGCCCTCACGACACATCAAAGGGGCCGCGCGGCCGCCGGGGGAGGCTGGGCGGCCTTGTCGCCGCCCGCCGGTGCGGGCGGCTCGTACCGAGCGCTTTCTCGGTGCGGAACGGAGGCGTTCCGGTGCCAAAGCGCCTGTGTTTGTTTTACAGCCCGAACCGGGCCGCCGGAGCGGGGTTACGGCAGCGCCGGGCCCGAGTCACGGCCGGGCCGGGGGGCGCGGGGCGGGGCGGGGCCTGCGCGGGGCGGGGCCCGAGGTGGGCGTGGCTCGCGGCCGCCCCTCCGTCAGACACAAGCTGCCATTGTGACGTTACGCCAGCGCCGCCCAATCAGCGCCCTCCGCTGGCGGCCCCACGTGGGCGCGGCGCCCTCTGATTGGCTGTCGGCGGCGAGGCCGCCCGGGTTTTGTCCCCCGCCCGCCGCCCCGCTCCGCCCGGGCGCTGTGGCGGCACCGCGTGCTCGGGCGCCGCTGCCCCGCTCCGCGCCCGCTCCGCGATGGCTCCCGGAGTTACGGCGATCCCGGCTGGACGCAGCTGAACGGCCGCCCCCGGGCGGGGGACCCGCTCGCACCTCGCATGTCCGCGGCGCCCGGGAAGTCGGATGTGTACGGCCTTCCTCCCCCTCCTCCTCTCCTCCATGGCCGTCGTGCTCCGGCGTTAGTTCCTGGCTTTGCTTCCCCTTCTCCCGGCCGCAGGAATACCGCGGGACCCTCCTCCCGCCGCCGCGTTGTTGTTGTTGTCGCTGTGGCTTTTTGATCTATTTTTTTTTTCCTAATTTTTTTTTTTTTTTCGGGGGGGGGGGGGGGGGGGTGGTTTTTTTTTTTTTTTTTTCCCCTCCGCCCTCTCCTCCTCCGCCCCCCGCACGGACTTTCCTCTCGTCCCTTTGTTCAGTTCTCGGCCTCTCCGGGAGCGCTCCGAGGCCGGCGGGCAGCAGCGGCAGCTCCGCACGTCGCGATCGCCGTAGCGAGGCTCGGCGCGGCTGCTTCCAGTGACCGCGCCCCAGCCCGGCCATGTACCCCCAGGGCCGGCACCCGGTGAGTCCCGGTACCCCCCGCCGCACCCCGGTCCT